TGTTAGTGTTTGCATTCAAATTGTGAATTTGAAGGCTCAAACTTAACTTAATTTAATTGACTTTAAAATAATTAAAGAAAATATTTATAAAATCTTAGCCACTAAATTAAAACCATCCGCACTACACCTATGATGAGTAGTCATGATAGAGGAAGTGCTTTATAAATTTAAGGAAACTGACGATCATAAGGCTTGAATACAAAGCCAGGATCATCTATAAATAGAGGAGTCCTTTCTCAATAATGATCATCAGTATCAACAAACTATTAGTCCAAACCTCACGTCTATTACCTTATTTTACTTTTTTTTTTATCATGTAGTTTTAGTCTTTATGTTTCTATTGTATGGTCGACATAGCCCACTACATCTTTCTTAATTAATGTATTTCTGCTTTTCTACATTTACATTAATTTTCTTCACTTCTCATTCTCACATTCGGGTGAACTATGGTAAGGGAACCCAGGTTTCTCACGTTTGAATAGAAGTTAGGTTCTTCCATCCTTTTGAGACCCCACGTCTTTGACAGGACAACACCACACTTGATTGTTTTTTACAAACAGTTAGTATCATAAATATCAAGTCATATCAAAAGACTAGTTTATTAGGTAGGAGAGTTCACTGAACTTATATATCCCATTTTTTTTTGTAATTATAAAGCTCCTTCGTATGGGACTCATATAACACAATGCATGTTTATTCAGTAGCCGACTTTCCCAACAATTTCATTCCATGACACTTCACTCAACTTTTTATTGGTCAAAATATATCCTTCATGGGTAGGACTCTTTGTAACATCAACTTCTTAATATAGAAGCACAAAGGTTATTGTGCTATGTAAACAATAAAAATACCAAGCGTGTCAGAGACACTGTGTCTCAAATGATAACAAAAGATTCTCAAGCTCCCTTACCACAATTTACTCAGATGTAAAGATATAAAAGAATTGGAATAATAAGTGTTTGATTAATAGAATATATGCAAACTACAAAGTCGTAAAGATTACAGAGCTAAATATGATGCCAAAAACTATTTGAATAAAAAGTTAAAAGTGTAATGGGCTTCGGTGGTAGATTGTTGTTCGGTCCCCTCTCTCTGTGACCTTATTATTCTAGCTTCTCAAACATTAAATCTCCTGGTAAAAACTAAGTTCCTTTAATTTGAATAACTAAAGTAATCAAGTTTGTCAAATGATTAAGCCCCCATAAAACTTGGAGCTCGTTTGCAAAGGATTGAGGATTCAGCCGGCATAGTCTACGAGATTCATGACATGATCCTCTTATTTGCAATGCATATAAGCTATTATTAACTATCAACTCGTGTTCCTGAAATATCTGTGGATAATGGCCATGACCTTGTGAGATTTAGGGCTTGTTGAGATTATGGTCTATTGTGAGGCAACAATCTAGATAAAGATTCAGAGTCTTAAGGGATTCATGGACCTAAATTGACCAAGATCTGGACTAGCCTCGTTGTGGGATCACTTATTGAGCCTGACTTTTCATTCACCTAGCTCGATCTTTGCTATGGCTATTATGTCTTTTTAAATAAATATCGTATCAGTTTTAGCCTAAACAATTACAAACACAAGTTTGAAGGGAGAGTAGCGGTGGATCCATGATCCGAAGCCAACAAGAGTGTGTATTTTTCTAACAATGGTTGTGCATATAATCATATGAAATTATTAATATTAAAATTATACAAAAAATTAATTTATTTATAACTACTTAAATTGAAGAAATTATGTACTTTCTTTTTTGTGATGCAGAGGGAGTAATATGTAAAAGCCCCCCTAGTGAATAAGCATGTATATGAATTATGAAAGTAGGAGATGATACAGAATTTATCTGGCAACACAGCAGACTCCACAGCTCTCTCCACCTCTTTACATAGAGAATGAATACAGGGAAATAAACTACTCTTTTTGCCTATTATTCATAATATAGTAAATTACTCCAAGAGTAAAACATGAAAGTGTCATTAAATACTGTTTTATTATAAAGAGTGAGAAGAAGTATTTAATTATATTATCTTCTTCATGCCCACATTAATTAATACAAGGAGTACTATATATGATATTTGGTAGGTACAGTAGAAAAATATTTTCTCTATAAAAAAAATGAAAAATGCACCTATCCTTTTTTTTTCTTAGTACATTTTCCATTTCTTTTTTAGAAAGCATTTTTTGTTTCATATACCAAACGTAGATTAAATGTCCTACATTTTGGATATAGCTAGAAAAAATATTTTATAATTTAGACCGGCTTATAAAACTAATGTTTCCCTATAAATATATTCATAACAAATAGAAGGAGTGCATGATAAGCGTAGTATATATACACTCCTTTCATCCTATTTATAGGACAAAGAGAAAATTAATTTTTATCATATTTAGTAGGCATTTCTCTATTTTTTGTGTTTAACTTTTATACCCTTATTAAATGTTAGAAAAATTATTAAAAAATTATTCTTTATATCCTTATTAGAGGGTAGGGGGTGAAAAATTATTAAATTTTAAAATAGAATCAATAAAATTTAGTGTTTTCATTGACTCTAGTAAAACATACTCTCTCCGTTCGAAAATGTAAGGCATTTTTTTAAGTGTTAGATATTTAAAAATGTAAGATATTTTTCGTCTTTCAAAGTGTAATCATTGTCTTTTTTTCAAAAGTGCCCTTATTGATAATAACTTTATATTTATTGTAAGGTGTTTAATAAGAATAAATATAAAAAGATAAGACTAGTTGAAAAGTAGGTAACTGCTTTATTAAGAGTGAAATTTAATTAAAAATATTTTATATTTTAAACGGAATGAATATTAAAAATAACTTATAAATAATATAAATGGAGTATATATATATATATATATATGTAGAAATTAAAGATATTTTCGTGTCGAAGTTTGGGCTATAACCTATTCATCACTAGTTAGCTCGCGCACACAAAGTCTACTGTTATAGGCTTATAGCATCCCCCTAACTTAATTAATAATGCGGCCCAACGACAGAGCATATGAACAGTGTTGTTGGGCTTTATATTAATCACAGTTATGGGTTTTAGACTTTCGTACTCTGTTTGTGACTGCGCGTGTGAGAAAAATAAATAATGTTCACACGAGTGAATATCAGTGTTTGGATTGCTCCTTTAAGAATACGATATTATATTGTCTCCCAATCCCAAGTCACTCGTACTTATATGGGTTCATTCTCAGAAAGTGATCGATGTATATAGTGAGCCAGAAGGTTTTGCATTTGGAATCTTACATAATCTGTGACAAATATATCTTGCAGGAGCAATATATGATATCTCATGTTATATGTTCCGGATAGAGTGTACTGTACTGTTGAATATTGGATATCCGTTGCATGTGTGCATGATGGTGAGTGATTTTTCTGCTTCCTTGTTGTGGTTTGGCTCCATCGCTGCTTTAATTTCCATGAGCCAACAAGTTGTCCAACCAATTCTATCATTTGGCTGCAGCTGCATCATGAGCACGAGGCTGCTCACTCATGCTATGTAAGTTTTGTGAAGGTCCAGGATCTGTCGAAGTTGTTTCCTTTAATTGACATGATCAAGAAACATAGCTAAGCTTTTTTATATTAGGCAAGTTAATTAAATTAATGACGTGAATTGAAGCCAAGGCAATCTGGAAGTTAAATAGGTGTTATCATGTGTTAATTAATGCTTGTTAGCTAGAGATCCATTCATGCATACTTCATTAAGAATATACATTTGGATGCGTCGATAGAATTGAATTTTATATTTCAAATCTTATATTCAAATTTTATGCATTTAAAATTCTTCATTTGAATAGTATAAAATTTTCAAATTCTAATATTTTGAAATCCTTTAGTAGGGTTCACACTTGAAATATAAAAAAATGTATTTTGAAAAGAAGTCAAATTATATATTTGAAACGAATAAGTTAAAGCAAGGATTTACAATTTTAAAATTTATGATAATAAAATTTATCAAAATAATTTAAATTCATGAATTTTTATTTATTCAAATAATAAATTTTGCTCAAATGCAAATAATCTCTAACTCAAAACACAATACTCTCTAATTTGTCCAAAGCATTTATATATAATTTTTCATTTATGCCCCTATTAAAGAGGAGAGATAATAAATGAGAGAACTTTTGGTCAATTTTATTCCTAAGGGTATTATTGGGGAAAAAATTTCTATCTATTACATATTTAAAATTTACAAGTAAATTTACCTATTTTCCTTGGTATTGAAAAAGTAATATTTGTTCCTTTTTTAAAAAAAAAACAGAGGGTACCACTATTATGTTTTTTTTTTTTTTTTGCCAGAAGTGCTATTATGTTTGTATTCATATTTCAAGACACTCCCTCCATTTGGACTTCAAAATTAGAAGATATTTTTAATGAATTTATACTTTTAATAAGTTAGTTAGCAAAATTTAAAATTACATTTTTTTTGTCTTCACCTTTATTTAATGAAAGGTTAAGGGTTTAAAATGCTCCTCAACTAAGTGAAAATGGTCAAGATTATCTCTAAAGTCAAAAAATGATTATTTATGTCCCTCAACCAATAAAATTTTTTATTCCATCACCCTATCATTCATTCAATCAAATTTCATTATTAGTAAGGCCTGCATTTGATTTTTTTAATATTTTAGTGGGTCTCACCAATTTTTTTTTATAGGATTAAGGGTTTAAAATACCTTTCAACTAAGCAGAAAGGGCCAAGGTTACCTGTAAAATTAAAAAAGGGTCATTTATATCTTTCAACTATTAAGATTTTTGATTTCATCACCATATTATCTATTCTATCAAATTTCACCTTTACTAGGGCCTACATTTAAATTTTTTTAATATTTTTAACGGGTCTCACCATTTTTTTATCTTTTTAACAAGTTTTCTCAAGGCTCAGGCTACACCTTTGAGCGAGTCACTGTTCAAACTTGTAAAAATTTAAACTTCACACCATGGCTCTCTCATGGCTCCAAGCTTGATTTTTCTATCGTAATTCCTGACCTTGCCCTCAAATCTGCCATTGTCAAATGGTGTTAGAATTCCACCAACCATTGCAAAGAACATGCTTCCAATGTACTCTTCAACCTGGCCATTCACGAAGATAACAAAACTGCAATCGGCATGTTAGGTGCTATGTTGCCACTACTCTGCTTGCTTCAATCCAAGAACGAGCAAATGAGAGGGAATGAAAGGGGAGAGAGAGAGGAGAGAAGGAGAAGAGAGGGGTATTTTTTTAACATGATAAAAATATTAAAAAATGATGGTACCCACTAAAAATATTAAAAAAATTAAATGGGGGACTTACTAATGGTGAAAATTAACACAATAGGTAGTATTAATGGAATTGAAAATCTCAACGGTTGAGGGATATAAATGACATTTTCTTGATTTTAGGGGTGATTCTGATCCTTTTTGCTTAATTGAGAGACATTTAAGATCCTTAACCTATAAAAATATAAAGTGAGTTCCACTATTATATTTTATTATTAAAAAATATTTAAAAAATTCATATCAGCCTCACTAACGGATAATTAACATCAGGGGCATGGAGAAAGTAAAATTATGAGGTTGAGGAATAAAATTGACCCCAAGTTAAATTTAAATTCATTTGTAAATTTTCGTATGCAATTCATGAATAAAAATGACTTTTAACCTTTTAATAAAATGTCTCAATTAAAGTAGGTTTTCCCCCACTTTCTGCCTTAGATATTCAATCAAAGTTGGCATGTTTGAATATAGACGTTTTAGTCTTTGGGATAATATAGTGTGTGTATGAATATTTTTTTTATATAAATATAAGGTGCTGGTTAGGCCTATTTGTTTTAACTTATTTCATAAAAAAATCACTTATTTTTTTAAATTTATTTTATGAGTTTTTATTATGTTTATCTAAACTTTTAAAAGTAATTAAAATATAAAAAAAGCATATTTCTGATTATTTTAAAAATTATTGTAAGTAATTTCTGAAATAATCTAATGCAGTAGATGAGGGAGAGTGTATTAAAAAGGTAAGATATGCGAAGATATTACAAAATTTTAAAATAATATAATGATAAATTATTTTTGTAAAAAAAATTAAGAAAGAGATTATAAAATTTAAAAATAACTAATTAATAATTACTTTTTTATTATTGTAACCAAACATAAAATAATATTCACTTTATATAAAATTTATATAAATAAATCTCTTTTTATAAAATCTATAAATTACCTAAAAATTACTTATTTTTTAATCTTAAATAAATAGGCCCCTAATCAATAATAGAAATTACCTTCCCTGAAATACTGAGAGCAAAGGATAGATTTTTTCTAATTAAATTGTTATTTAGAGAAGGGTTGAAATTTGAAACCGAAATCACTCTACTTCTCATGGCACCTTTAATAGTTATATAAATATAAACACCAAATCAAGATATTTTTAAAAGATTTTCACTGCTGAAATATATAGATAAATATTGAATTTGAGAATTTCAATTACGAGGAGATTGTGATTTAGCATTAAATCTTTTATGAGATCTTAGTCATCATTCTCCCAAAATATAAACATAAATGCATGTGTTTTCAGAGCCTAGGCCCATTCATGGCTGCTTGCGTGGGCCAAAAAAAAAAAAACAAACAAACAAGAAGAAGAAGAATATTGTGATTCATCTCACAATTTGGAATAGTTCTTCCAACAACGAGGTGCACTCTACTTTTGATACATCTTTTACTTCACATGTGCTCACATTATTTTACAAAATCTAGAAAAACTGAGGCACTCTGTTTCCCCGTTGGTAGTTTATAAACAATAATATTTATAAATCTTTTTTATTTTATATTGATATTGATATTATATTTTCCTAAAGAACTTGGTTGGGCTCTGTGTCAAATCCAGAGGCCAGTATCCTGTTCTACCCCACTTTTAATTTTGCTTTTATATATTTTGGGTTATTGTTTTCTTTAATTAAAATAAAATATAGAACCTATAGTGGTTCGTTATGGAAAGTATAATTGTCCTTGAAAAGGATTTTGAAAATAAAATCCATCCTAATCTAGTACCTCACATTTATAATAAGATCCATGTGGTTCCACCCCAAGTGTGAAAGGCCACACACACGAGCATGTGCGTTCCACCATAGCCAACTAATCATTATATATGCAGAGATTTTCGTTTCTTTGTTTCTCACGACGATTATTACTATTGTGCCATCTATCACTAATAATTCATCTGAACATATACTATCAACGCTATAGCTACTTTATACTATTCCCACGTCCAGCTGTTTCTCATGTTGCAAACTCCAAAATAAGATATTTGGAACACTGCACTTATATCACATGGGATGGCATATTAAAATTTTTTTGAAATAATGTCATTCTAGAATTTTTAAAATAAGAGAAATGTCGCCCCAACATTAACCTCAAAAAAATGTTGACCGTTATATTAGCTTCTTTGACCAAGGGAATCACACGTGGCCCCATATGATTAGAATAGATGTTTTGGTTATAATGATTTTGGTTGTAATGAGTATGATTTTTCGATTGATTGTAATGACCCCATTTTATAAATCTTGATGTTGTGTTTGATTTTTTTTTTTATGCTTATTTGGTTTTTATTTTCTAGTGATTTAGATTATGAATTGGACACGATTTTGTTGCTGTTTGGTTTTGCTCAATCCCTTCTCCCTCTCTTCAATCCCCTCTCCATGACTGTTAGCTTTTAGAGCTAGGAACACCCAAATCCCGCTTATTAGTCCTTCACCTTCTTTACTATGGTTTGGGCTCTGTGGTTCACTTCTTTTCTGATCTATCAATTTCCACATTCAAATTGGTCATTTAAGTCGTCTGCTCTGTTCCAAAGCATGAATCTTCATTCCCAAATGGAGCCACGAGTGTTGGCAATGGCAAGTCTAAATGGCATTGCAAATCAAACCAAGCCAACCCTAGAAAGAAGCTGCAAGAGCTGGGGAAGCTCTTGATGGAGGTGATGACTAATGCTGGTGTTGGTGGAGTGGCAGTTGTTAGCGCGATGAAGACTTAGAAAGCGAGGAGGTGATCGGTGGTTGGGTATGTTTAGAGTTGGATTTTCTCCTTTACAAAGGAGAGAAAAGAAAAATTTAATATAGATATGAATTGTTAAATTAAATTTAAAAATTTAAATTTAATAATTTTTAAAATATAAATTTAATTTGAAAGACTCAAATTTACAGTAGAGAGGCAGTGGAGGAAAAAAACAAAGAAGAAAAACCCACCCCTAATTCACATGGAAGTGCCACTTCGCATAAAAAAACTTGTTACATATTATTTAACTAGTAACATTTTTTAGGGTCAACGCCAAGGTAATATTGCTCTAATTTTAAAACTTTCAAGACAACATTCAAAAAACAATTACATTAACAAGTACTTTTTGTAAAAAAGATTTCAAAGCATTTTCATTCTTTAACCCATTATTAATATTCAAAACATGAAATAATGTTGGGTCTGTGGGTATATATATTTACAATAATACTATTAGAAAATGGTAATCAAGGCTTACCCTTTCAATTCAAACTAATTCAATCGGCACGTTGCAGATATTTTTTTTAAGAAACACACTTTACATCGATAATTTAATTGCAGTTGTTGTGTGTGTGTCAAGGACACAAACTCCAATAAGACTTCGAATTAAGCTGGATCAACTCTTAACACAATTAATCCAAGTAGCCGTGAAATACTCTTTTGGGATAAAAGTGAAAGAAGAGAGAGGGATGGTGGGAGATGGAGGCCTTGAATGACAACGTGGGGCGTTTATGTGAGTGTGAACACTCATCACCTAATTGTTAATTTCAATAACTACATATTTATATATATCCATACCCCCAACATACAAATATTATATGGCAACTTGCTATTGTTTCATATATGCTATTTTTCAATCTCCTTAAAACACAGATATGCCATGTTATTTTATTCTATAAATACAAATACATAGTTTGATTGTGGTCAGACTAGCTTTAATTAAATCAAAATATTTATGCTCTGGATGGCTTGTACTATCAGGCAGGGTGTATATCCATAACCATAATATTATAAATTCATCATCAAATTAAATCCAATTATAAAATTACCAACTACATGGTCCATAATTAAAGGTTTGTATATATGAATATCTTCATCACTTAGTCGGATATCTAGTAAAAATGATTATTCCAATCCATCCTCGTTCTCCTCACTTTCCACACCCTGCGTTTCAGCAATTTCATTCCAAGGACAAGACAATGGGCCTCATATTATGCTCTGGAATTCATTGGGCCTTAAATCGTCTAATCCCGTTATGTTTTTCGGCCTACAGAGTCCAATCCAAACCCAACATGGGCTTTCTCGGGGAAAAAAATCGAATACCGCATGAAGTAGGGTAACCAAGCCACACCTACCTCCATAATATTATTTCCAACTCATGCTGAGACTAAGAAGCCAGAGTTTGTCGGTCCATGTGAATTCTATTTTACTTCATTTGTATTGGTGAACACGAGACTATATGACTATATGAGCATTAGTTCATGGTCTATAATAGCCTAGCTGATATTTTCTCCTAAACAATGTTGCTTCCGCAAATTTCCTCACAGCTAGTGCTATTTTCTCCGTTTGATTTATTAAGCTTGCCTAAGCATTACTACTGTTTTAAAAAATATTTTGGACAAATTCAATTCACGAGTTTATTCATTAGAAGACATGTTTGAACCTTAACCTTCCATTTATATAACAAATGAACTTTAGAGAATTTATATATTCACATAAACATGGAAACTTTGACAGATCATGTTATTCAAAATAAATTTAAAAAAAAAATAAAGGCTAAATTTACCTATAGTAGCTGAATATAATGAAAAGGATATTTCACTTGTTATTCCAAGACATATTTCATATTGATTACTAGATTCGAGTTGAATCAAAACATAAATAAGATAATTTTTGAAAATTGTATATTGCATCAACTTATGGAAGTATTTAAGCGATTATAACTCATTTCCGTAAGAATTAAGATGAACACGTCAATGGTGGGCAAAAAACAAAAAAGATGGAAACACATGTCAATTAGATTATGACTATATTTAAATTAAAAAAAA